TAGCTCAAAGAGGACCCTTATCCAGAAAATAATCTCTTGAAGTTTACTCCCACGTAATTTATGTATATTAAATAGGGATCAGGCTGATCACAAAGTTCTGCTGGATTTAGAGCTGTAGTTCAATCTAGGTCAGCTATCTGTAGGACCCCAACTGTTTTTGCTGGGAGTGTCACGGAATCTTACCTTTATACTTCAGTCTTTCCTAAATACCGGTGGGCCTTTACAAAGACATGTTCTGATGTTTTTCCTTCTGCACTGCTAAAACTATTATAACCTACTGCTTGTGCCATTATGGTATGGAAGCAATCAAAGCAATTTCAAATGTGCTTTTCAGCTGTAAATTATATTTGCCCTTATGCCAAAATTTAATTTCTCCTTTTTTAATAATAATGTCAGATCAATCAGATGATTATTATGTAGCATTCCTATTAGCTGACAAAGCATTCAGGTCACTTGCAACATCACCAAGTTCTGTTACCTAACTTCATGAATGTGGCAGATGATGCATCCTGAGAATAAGTTCCTCCTATATTAATTACTTGTCTTTTTGTATTTTGTCTGTTTGTTGTTGTTTGCTGGCCTTTGCCTGTAATGAAGTTTTTTATTTGATCTGATTAGCTTCTCAACATTTGCTGAGCCTGCCTAGCACTGACAGTAAGTTCAACTTTAACAAAATAACTGTAATGCCAAATAAGTATGTTCAGGACTATAGCAGATAACAAGAGAAATGATAGGATACATACCACTTACACTGCCTGGATCAATAGCAGCAAGAATCTGAGCTTGCTGAAGTGCATCCCAATTGGATTCTAAATACGTCCGTAAAAGCTGCTTCTTTGCAGACAGTTGATTTAATTCCTTTGCTGTAAAGAGTATTTTTAAATTACTTTGTGAAATACTTTCAAATGTATTTACTTTCAAATGTATTTACAAAGTCTCACAAAATAAAGATATCCAAAACTGGATTGTTAGCAGAAATAACAAATATTGTACATATATATGTAGCCATTTATTTAAAATATTTAGATCATATTTAATAATAAAACTCCTCATAACTAGTTTCTAAAATACTGGTAGTCCTCAGTTAACAAAACCACTCATTCAGCAACCATTCAAGGTTATAACAGTGCTGAATGAGTGGTGGTTATGACTGCCCCTCAAAGTTCCAGCCGTCCCAGCACCCCCATGGTCATGTGATCATGTTCTGGGCACTTGGCAACTGGCTCACACATACGACAATTGCAGCATCCCACAGTCACATGATTGTAATTTGCAACCTTCCCTGCCAGCTTCCCATAAGGAAAGTCAGTGGGGAAGCTGGCAGGGAAGTTCACATGTTGCTCGGGTAAATCTCCCCCACCTGCACAGCCTCCCCCAGCCCCTCAGCGCTTGTGCTACATCTCGCTGACCACCCACACAATCTCATGTACCCTCCCTGAGCCTCGCTGTGCTTGGCCATGCATCTCCTGCCACCCACACACGCTCATGCACTCTCTCCCACCCAGCAGCAGCCACCCCAAGCCTTGCTGTGCTTGTACTGCTTCAGCTACTCATACACACTCTCCAGCCACTTGTGCACCCTTATGCACCCTCCCCCACCCAGCAGCATCCACTCCAAGACCCACCTTGGTCATGTTGCACCTCCCTGGCTACCCACACACCCTCCCCAGCCACTCGCGCACCCTCACACACACCCTCCCACCTGGCAGCAGCCACCCCAAGCCCCATTGTACTCATGCCATGCCTCTCTGCCACTCACACAGCCTTTCCCACCTGGCAGCAGCCACCCCAAGCCCCATTGTACTCATGCCATGCCTCTCTGCCACCCACACAGGCTCATGCACTCTCTCCCACCCAGCAGCAGCCACCCCAAGCCCCATTGTACTCATGCCATGCCTCTCTGCCACCCACACAGGCTCATGCACTCTCTCCCACCCAGCAGCAGCCACCCCAAGCCCCATTGTACTCATGCCATGCCTCTCTGCCACTCACACAGCCTTTCCCACCTGGCAGCAGACACCCAAAGTCCCACCACCACTCAGGCACCCTCTCCCACCCAGCAGGTTTTTTTTATATGATGGACAATTTAGAACTTGTACATACATGGAGATACAAAAATGGTGATGCAAAAGAATACACCTATTTTTCTGAAAGACATAGATCTTTTTCAAGAATTGATACATTTTAGATATCTAAGAATTTGGTTACTAGTGTTCCCAAAGTGGAGATACTTTATTTATTTGTTTGTTTCGTATTTATATAGCCGCCCATCTCACATAAAGTGACTCTGGGCGGCGTACAACAATTAAAAAGAATAAATACATAACAAACAATTATAAGTAAAAAACTATAAAAACACACAAAACAGGAGGAGATAATATTAATAAGGGAACCATCGCAAAATCTCCCCAGCCCCCTGGGACCCCCAGGCCTGATCACATAGCCAGGTCTTGAGGGATTTGCGGAATATTAAGAGGGATGGAGCTAATCTCACTTCTAGGGGGAGAAGATTCCACAAGGTGAGTGCCACAGCAGAGAAGGCCCGCCTCCTGGGACCCACCAAATGTAATTCCCTGGCAGGCAGGACCAGCAGCATGTCTTCCCTGCCAGACCTGATGGGACAGGCAGATGTAACTGGGGAGAGGCAGTCCCTCAGATAATCTGCCCCATGCCATGAAGGGCTTTAAAGGTCAAAACCAGCACCTTGAATTGGACCCGGAAGCAAACTGGCAACCAACGCAGCTTGCAGAGCAGAGGTATAACATGTACTGCTCTAGGGGCACACATAGCTCCCCACGCCACTGCATTTTGCACCAGCTGAATCTTCCAGTTACTCTTCAAGAGCAGCCCCATGTAGAGCGCATTACAGAAATCCAAACAGGATGTGACTAGGACATGAGTGACAGTAAGTAGATCCCTCTGATCTAGGAATGAGTGCAACTGGCACACAACATGAAGCTGTGCAAAGCCCCTCCTAACCGCGACTGCCAAATACCTTTCAAACCACAATCCAGTGACTTTAGCATTTAAAAGAAAGAAGAAGAATTAAAGAAATCCCCAAAAAAGAAGACTATTTCACAACAAATTAAACTCTTACAACAGCAATTGTCCACAGTAATAGAAAAGGAAGTAAAAATGAACTATGCAAAACAAAAGAATTCTGGATTTGCAAATAACCCAGGGAAACGGTTGGCATATAAATTGAGGAAAGAAAAAGAGAAAAAAATGATATTAAAATTACAAGATGGAAATACCATAATAACATATAATTCAAAGATACAAAATATTTCATCAATATTATTCTAAATTATATAAAGGAGAACTTTCCCTAGCAAAGGTTGATGAGTATTTAAAGAAACAAAACTTACTAAAGATCACAGAAAAACAGAAACAATTAATGAATGGACCTATGACAATAAGGGAAATTTGTGAAACCATAAAAAAGGCAAAAATAGGGAAAGCGCCTGGACCAGTTGGTTTACGAGCCTCTTATAAACATTTTGAAGATGAATTACTACAACCATTGCAAAAAATGATGAATTCTATTTTACAGACTGGAAAGATATCAGACAGTTGGATAGAGGCTACTATAGCATTAATATCTAAAGAAGGTCAAGATTTGACTTTCCAAAAAATTACCACCTAGTATCATTATTGAATAATGACTATAAGTTATTTACAATAACTTTAGCTGAGAGGATGAAAATGATTTTACAAGACTTTATTCATGAAGATCAATGTGGGTTTTTACTCAAAAGACAGTTGAGAGATAATATTAGAAATGTATAGGATATTTTGAAATACTTAGAACAACATAATGAAAAACAAGCTGCATTGATCTTTCTGGATGTAGGAAAGGCCTTTGACAATTTGAACTGGACTTTCTTGTTTAAAATTTTGAAGGATCAGGACTTTGATAAGAATTTTATTAAATGGAGAAAATCAATTTATACCTCACAAAAGGCACAGATAATTGTAAATGAAGTATTAGCAAAACCTTGTGAAATACAGAAAGGGACAAGATAAGGATGCCACTTGTCACCATTGTTATTCGTCTTAGCTCTGGAAGTACTGAATAGAGACATAAGACAAGATGAAAAAATTGCTGGACTGAGGATTAAAAGGGAAAAATAAATTACAGGCCTTTGCCGATGATTTGGTGATAATTCAGGAAAATCCTTTAGAAGGAATAGAAATATTAATGGAAATATTAAAGGATTTTGGTGCATTAGCTGAATTTAAAATTAATAATGAGAAAACGAGATGTTAACAAAAACATGAGGATAGAAGAGCAAAAAAATTGATGGAAAAACTGGTTTTAAGATTGAGAAAAAAGTGAACCATTTGGGTATTATAACTAATATGAATTGCATGTTATTTCAGAACAATTATGTTAAGACATGGAATGAAATTAAGAAGGATATGCTAAGATGGAAGAAATTACAATTGTCATTGTTGGGGAGAATTTCTGTGATAAAGATGAATGTATTGCCTAGAATGATGCTTTTGTTTCAAAAA